CAGCCTCGACTTCCTGGGTTTGGGCGATTCTCCCACCTCAGCCTCTCATGGTAGCATGTGCCACCATGCTTGGCTAATTTTTCATAGTTGCTTTTGTAGAGAAAGAGTTTCACCTTATGACTCAGGCTGGTCTTGAACTCCTGGATTCAAATGATGCACCTGCCGCAGCCTTGCTAAGTGGTGGGATAACAGGCATGGAGCCACTGCACCCGGCTTTATTAATATTTTATTTGTTATGTATTCAACTTAGGCCAAATTTTTCCTTGATTAGTCACCTGTTTTTATATTTTGAAATTTGATAAACAGGACAGTCCTCAATACAGTATTGAATTAGATAAAAATAAGGACCATTGTAACAAGGTCGAGGATCATGGCTCTGGTCAAGAAAAAGACATGACCCTGAAGTGGCAGTAGCCAATACCAAGCTTTATTTGGTCAGCACATGGATAGGCTTGCATGAGAAGTCTCTCCCAGCGAAGGCCTTCCAGAGACTGTGACATGGAGCCCCTACCCAGAAGGAGTAGCGATCTCCTGTGGGAGAGGGAAATCAGAGGGGGGACTTCCATGTCTAGATGATGACACTCAACCACAGGATGGAGAATCTCTGGGTCATTGAGCTCCAAAGAGCAGCAGTGGCATGAGGTCTTTTATAGCCCCCGGATTTGCCTTATTGATGTCTAACAGATATTGGAAGCGATTTCATGGTGTAGGCAAAGCAAGTAGACTCCAAATGGCTAAAAATATGCTTATTTGGGCCATGTTTAAAACAACTGAATGTCTAAGAATTTTGAATTTGGAGCTGGCAAGCTGTTGAGCCAATGGTCCTAATATGCAGAAGTAAACGTAAGGGCCAATATATAGGAGTCATCTTTGGTTTTAAAAAAATAAAATTGTTATAACATTTGTATAACAACCATGCAAGACGTACCTTGTCATGTGTTGCAGCCCTCCTTTTATAAGTGAAGAAGAACATCTTTGGTATGATCCTGAAGCCATTTGGGGTACCCAAAAGTTAGGTTAAAAAGACATTATTATTACTATTATTATTTTCTTTTAATTTGCAACTTGAGGCCAGTTACTGTGGCTCATGCCTGTAATCCCAACACTTTGAAAGTTGGAGGCAGGGGATCATTTGAGGACAGGAGTTTAAGACCCACCTGGCCAGCATAGCAAAACCCCGTCTCTACTAAAAATACAAAAACTTAGCAGTGTGTGGTGGCACACTCCTGTAATCCCAGCTACTCAGGAGGCTGAGGCATGAGAATTGCTTGAACCCGGGAGGCGGAGGTTGTAGTGAGACAAGATTGCACTGTTGCACTCCGGCCTGGGTGACAGAGCGAGACTCTGTCTCAAAAAGAGGATAATAATAATAAAATAAAATTTGGAACTTGAATGTGGGGAAAATATTGAAAAAATTGTCAGATGAAGTAAAATATGAACAGAAGTCATAGGTGCCTTTTGAGTAAAAAAGAAATAACAGAGACACAAGTAACAAAGTAACTTTAAATGTTAGGAATACCAAACTTTGCAAAAAAGTCACAAAGAAGAGAAAAAAGATTCATAAGCACGATAAAAGGAATACTTAAGTGATAAAAGGAACTTTTTGATATTTGGGCAAAATATATTGAAGGCACAGAATGGTCTTCCCTCTGTTAAGAGCAGACTGTGTAATCAAAAATCAGTTTGTCAGTATAACAAAAGTGATATCATATTCTAATTTTACTTTTAAAATATACCACCTATGTAATGTTTTATAGTTAAGGATTCACAAGCATTTCTCTGTTTTATGATTAAGCTCATCAGAATTTACCATTGTCAAAATTTAGTGTATTAGCTTCTTTTCAAACTCATTATTTGTAAATACAATTTGTTTTCCATCAAGACGTCTATAAATTGTTCACTTCTATAAATTGTTCTTGTCTTTTCTTTAACATTCCAGTTATCTAGAGATATGGTATTGATCAAAGTTCATCTGTTTCAGACCTAAGATAAAATTCATTTGTTTTTCAATTGTTATGAGGACCAGACAAATCACATGCGTCATTTTGTAAACATGCTTGCATTTCTTCACATTTTTTACGTAATATAGTTCTGATCACTCATATGAACTACAACTTTTACCCGAAATAACCTTCAGTTCTCTTTCGGTCTCTGTTGTCTGTCTCTGTCTCTCTTTCTTTGTCTCTTTTATCTCTCTGTCTGTCTCTCTCATACACATGTACACACACACACTTTTCAGTAGAGGATTAAAAACTCTGTGCCTTTCAAGGCAACTTAGGGGACCAGAAGACTCTAATGACCTAGAGCTGTCACTTCAATAATACACATTACACATCACCTTACTATCACACATATTCCTTTGTTATTTGCATCTCGTTAGAACATGAAACCTTCCCTCACTTTTTGGTTTGGGTATTTAACTATTTCTATAACAGTCCTCTTATTTCCTCTGAGAGAAATGAGAAAAAGATGTCAACTCAGAATTTCTTTGATTTCATAGTAGATCTTGATGATATGGACAAGCAAGAAGTAATCATTACCATTTCACCTGCGTTCCACTTGATCTCTTACATCAATGCCCATTCCTAAAATGTATAATATTAACCAAGCAAAAATCCTCTTAGAAGGCAGAGCTACCTCTTTTCTAAGCTATTCAGAATCAGTCTTAATTTAAACAAACAAATACAAAACTTTGTTTCCTATTCTTCAGCTCTTTTGGCAGCTTTGTTTAATAAGATATCTATCCCTCAGTGTACAAAATGATATATATTTGGCTCAGTAATGTATAAACATTTTGAAGGGAGTGAAAAAGAGAGAATGAGAGAATGAATCGGCCACTGATACAAAAGAGCTCCAGTTACATGAATATTGTACGAAGCTAATTTATTTCCTTTTGCAAGAAGGAAAAGGACTTTTTTTTTCATTTACAAACATAGACACAAAGAGAACTAGCAGCCTCAGTTATACATAGTTAGATATAGGTCAAAAATAAATATACAGTGCAATTTTCTGTGCTTCAACAAATCTCACTGGTTCATTGCAGCTACTTGGGAGTAGTAAGGTCAGGAAGTCAAAAAGATCTACAACAAATTCTTCTTATGAAAATTTCTTGATCTGGGGCTGATCTCCATTCTAATGAGTGCAAAATTTTCTCTTGAATGGTATTCAAACTAATGTTCAAAAATGGTGTTATGCTAGTGTTCAAATGACATACAATATAGAGAATATCAGGAGGTAGTACAAGCTTCAAGAAAAACTACAGAAAGACAAATACAGAAAGACAAAACTGGGTTTTCCTGCCATCTACCACTGAACAGAGACTTCGTGGCTGGGTCAAGTAATGAAAATCATACTCCACTTTTCAGTTACTGAGAGAATAAAAATAATAGCCATGTACAAAACAGAACAAGACTTAAAAATCAACTTAACATAAAAATTAAATAAAACAGACTAAGAAAATAATGCTAAAACAGAGTGAACGTGAGTCAGAGATTCACTCTGAGAATCAAGAAACTTGAGTCTGGGATTCAGAGATGTAGGTACAGATCATTTTTGGGGCAAGACTCAGCCCTGGTGAATGAATTGACCTGGGCATCTCAGCCAGTGGAACTCCAATTGGGAAAAGGCAAAAAAAAAAAAAATAAAAAAAAAAAAACAATTTTAAAAGCCAAAAAGTGCAAAGGAAACAAAACTTGGGACTTTGGAAGACTTCGAAAAACTGGCTATCATATATAAAACATAACAAGTATATACATATAAAGAAAAAGCTGACACAAGGTTACCAAGATTACAGATAATCTGTTAATGGTAGTAAATCTTCAATTTTCTCAAATGTTATTAATCGCTACTAGGGTCACTGTATTAGGGTTCTCTAGAGGGACAGAACAAATGGAACATATATATATTCCATTTATATATATATAAGAATTTATATATATATATATATATATATGAATTTTTAAAGTATTAACTCACATGACCATAAGGAGGTCCCACAATAGGCCGTCTGCAGGCTGAGGAGCAAGGAGAGCCAGTTGGAGTTCCAAGACTGAAGGACTTGGAGTCTAATGTTTCAGGAGGCATCTAGTATGGAAGAAAGATGTAGTCTGGGAGACTAGGCCAGTCTCTCTTTTCACATTTTTCTGCCTGCTTATATTCTAGCTGCACTGGCAGCTGATTAGGTTGTGCCCACCCAGATTAAGGGTGAGTCTGCCTTTCCCAGCCCACTGACTTAAATGTTAATCTCCTTTGGCAACACCCTCACAGACACACTCAGGATCAATACTTTGTTCCTTCAATCCGGTCAAGTTGACACTCATTATTAACCACCAAGTCACCCATAGCAATATTGCAGACTGGTCATTGTTTGCGGTATCACCTTTCCCGTCTGCTGATCCTAAAGGCCGTGATCCTACCACCATAGTACAGAGCCTCTCAATTCAAAGTATTTGAATCAAAGTTATTTTTCTGATGATGTTTGGTTAACAGAATATCAGTGTCAAATAATCAAATAATTTTGAATTACTCTGTAGTTTAAAATAGCTTCTGGGACAAGAAAATTATTTGAACTAATCTGCCCTGTCATATGAAAACATTCTCTTTTGAATACTTGTAGATAGACTGAAAAATTCACTTTCTTTTGGATTTATTTTCTTCAGAAGGTTAATTTTATCCATGTAATATTGATCTTGGCATATTCAACCTTCTTTGGAGGACCTTATTGACATATTTGAATTCTATGTACATGCATTGAATTCTATGTACAAGTTATAATGTATTTCCTGTTTCAATGTATTCATCATTGAAAGAATTTAAAACTGTGGAAGTGTTAATTTTTCATATTATCTATAATAAGAAGTTGTTTTATTTTTAGGATAAAAGATACTCCAAATAAAACTGATAAACATGACAATAAAGTTAAAAGAATTGGACCACACATAGAAATCTTCCAAGTATTCCGAGAAAGAAAAAAATTCATGATTACCCCAAAATTGATTAGAATGGTCACCATCATGCAGGCGTATGTCAGGGGATGGCTTGAACGCAAAAGATTGCAAAGAGTAATGACCAAGGTAAGCTATACATCAGATATTATAATGTGTTTAAAATTTCTCATTAGATTCAATTAAGTAAAATTTTTCAATATGCCTCTAATATTTCTAAGTAAAATTCTGTGTACATACTTTTTTTTTTTTTTTTGAGATGGAGTTTTGCTCTTGTTGCCCAGACTGGAGTGCAATGGCATGATCTTGGCTCACTGCAACCTCTGCCTCCTGGGTTCAAGCGATTCTCCTGCCTCAGTCTCCTGAGTAGCTGGGATTACAGGTGCCTGCTACCACATCCAACTAATTTTTGGTGTACATACTTTAAGAAAATGTGATGAATAATCTGCTATGATGATAGTTTTAGATTGTGCAAAGTTGGAGACTCCAAACAAAAGGCCTCATTTATCCTTAACTCAGCAATTCTGGGACCACCTATTCTTAAACAAGGATATTTTGAAATAACTTTGCACTAAAGTTGTTTCTTCCTTGCTATCTGCTCATTTTCTGTTTAGAGCAACTTTCCTTCACTTCCCACACTCCTGGGTACTCTTTCAGTGCATAAATGTTCAATTTCAAAGAATTACACACACACACAAATATCTACCTGGTCAACTTTCATAGATTGCAATTCTGATTTTTAAAATAAATAATGCAGACCCATTTTAGCTGGGCAAATGCAGATGAACCTAAGTGGGTCCATCTTGGAAAACCTTTGAGAGAACCCAAAATGTCCTCACCTTGAGGACTAAAATTTTACTGCTAATAAGGAATTTGGGAAATCAACTATAAATAAAATATATTAGTAGTGCCCACTCCAATTCCTTGATCTTCTGGGAAAAACCTCTGGAATAGATTTAAAGTGGGCATCCTGAACACATTTCTCTGACAATGTGGTGATACTGTTAGAGTTAATCCATCTGCCTATCTCTGGGTATACATGTTTACATGTACTAACATGTGTAAATTAATATGTATGTGAATCACATATGTAGTTATGATTAAACATGATAATACATGTAAAACTCTGGCAAAAGGTAAACACTCCATATACTTAATCCCATAATTTTGTAAGGTAGCTGCTATATCTGTTTTATTGCTGAAGAAACTGAAGCAAATTATTTGCCCAAAGTCAAACAGCTGGTAAGTGAAAGAGCTAGAATTCAAACCCATGTCTGTCTAAGACATTAAAAGATCTATGGTTAAATTAGAATTAAATTTCTCCACAATGGGAAATGAACTGATTTTCTTACTCCACAAAACTCTTTCTTTCCTATAACTATCTATATTGATAAACTGTTCTACCACTCATTGCTCAAGCCATAAACCTGGATGTCTCTTAGATTCTTTCAACTTTTTCACTCCCATATTCAATTGGTTCCACTTTCATGATGTTTGTTGAACTGCTCTTCTTTGTGCTTCTTGCCAGAACTTCCTTTAATCTACCCTTACATGGAGAATTGCAATAGTTGCCTCATTGATCTCTGTGCCTACAGACCTACTTCCGTCAAATCTATTTGCCATGTACCATATTTGAAAAATTCCACTGTTATTACCTTATTTCATTTCTTATAATCTTTTTGAGGGCCTATATTGCTTACAGGATATAGTAGGAACTATAACATAGTACACATGACCTCCCTGTTTTGGCTCTTGCATTTTCTCAAGCTTCATCACATCATACCCCCTGACATATTCTCTGTGTTTTAGCAAACTGCAAATCTTGATTGTTTCTTGTCATCTTATATTTTCATGCTGTTCTCTCCTCTGCCTTCCTTATCTTCTGATAAACTCCAATTCATCTTTCAGGATCTTCCTAAAGTATATTCACTTAGACACCCTCTCTTGTCCATCAAGCAGAGCTGATCTCTCCATTTTTCTGGTCATTATTGTGTCCAGTTCTTTACATTATTATCATCTGTTTACATGTTTGACATGGACAGTATGGTTTATATGACTTATTTGGAAGCACATACTCTTTATTTTTCTATTCACAGCACCACAGACTACCTTGACACATAATATATACTCTATCATTTTAACTGTATGCATGTATAATCTAATATTTTTTCTTGTTTATCTCTCTGTTTGTATACATATATTTTTTAGTTTGGCTAGATAGATTGCAAACTCCATGAAGACAGGTATCTGTCTGTCTTGTTTGTTTCTGTATTCAAATGCCTAGAATGGTGTTTCGTATGTAGTAGGCACTCAACAAATACCTATTGTATTTGATTATATGTAGGCACTCAACAAATACCTATTGAGTGGATGAATTAACATAATTGTAGAAGTTTATCATGGCAGTCTAAGGAGATCTCACACACACACACACACACATCCTTAAAGTTCTGTCTGCACACATTTGATACATGCTATATAATTTAATTATAGCATTTCCTAATATCAGAAAGAATTGTAGAATCATTCATAACCTCTGAGACAAAAATGAATCTAAAAAATTGAGAGAGGAAGAATGGGCCAAAGATGAGGGTGAAAAGGAGTGATTTAATTGATAAGAAAAATGCTGAATTTCTATATGGAGATAGGATTTGAGATAAAAAGAATGGGAAGTACTTTTAAAGGATCAGAGCCAATATAAAGTAGATTGTTTACTTTTATTTGGTTATAAAATTTGTTATGATCAATGATTTTCTTTTTTATTCCATCATTGGCATGGTGCTTTGTCTGTTGGATGATTACTTTGCTGATGTGGTTAAAGTTGTTTTGCCTAGTGTCAAAATCCTAGTGTGACACCCTGTAATGCAGTTAATAGTAAGTTTCCTGGACTGTGCCTATGTGAAGGGTTGCTGTTGGGGGAATTCTTCATAACTTTCTGATCTAGAGGGTGCACAGCAAATCACTGAATAATTGTCAGCACTGTGGCAGTTCCTCCACTGGGAGACTTCCATAGTCATACTGCTTTACTGCCACTTCAGAGTTTGTTGCTGTGGACAGTGTCTGCTAGAAGTTTAAGATTACTCAAGAGACCGTACGATTTCCATTCCCTATGAAAAATTTAGTTTGGAATTCTTTGGAAATAATGAAGCAGCATCAAATTGTCTTACCAGTCATACATCAAAAGACCACAGAGATTGCTATATTTTAATATGAATATTTTTTCCACAATTAAAAATGTCATTTCCCTTTAAAAATTTTTGTGCTGTTTGCATGTGTTTTGGTATAAGTAATAATGATATTACAGAATCATAGAGACACAAAACCGGGTTCATTCCTTGATGTAACGCTTCTAGGATCTTACTTTCAATATTTTTTTCTAAATATTTATAATTTTAAAGTTTTAATCCTAAATTAAATATATTTGATTGCTATTGACTAAAAATGTTGAAATTCCAGGACATTGGAATGGTTGATAGCTACAATAATAAAAAGTGTTTGAAATTGGCTTTTAATAAATATTTGTTGAATCAGTAAATTTGGAACAGCCCTGGAGAATCTGAGTTTCATTATTACCTTAACAACGTCTTATACATAACTCAATGGTCTTCAATATTTTGGAGGTTATAGAATTCTTTGAAAATTTGATAAAGTAGGAATTTGCTATCATTGTCTCAAAAGAACAAAACAGAAATAATAACAAAATTTGAACCTATTCGTGAACCCTATAGGACAGGGCACCTTGTATAGCAACAGTCCCCTACCTTTTTGGCACCAGGGACCAGTTTCGTGGAAGACAATTTTTTCCATGGACGAGAGCAGGGGCAGGGATGTTTTTAGGATGAAACTGTTCTGCTTCAGATCATCAGGCATTAGATTCTCATTAAGAGCACACAACCTGGATCCCTTGCATGTGCAGTTCACAATAGGGTTCTTGATCCTATGAGCATCTAATGCTGCCGCTGACCTGATAGAAGGAGCTCAGGCAGTAATGCTCGCTCACCCACCATTCACCTCCTGCTGTGCAGCCTGGTTCCCAACAGGCCACAGAGCAGTTGGTTGGGGACTCCTGTTGTATAGAACAGTTTTATTACATAACATGTGTGCTAACACTCACAAGTACCTGTAGGCCTATGTTCATTTATTCAATAACATATGTATTTTTTAATTTGATAATAGTCACTATATACTGGGTCCAATTTCCTGCCTGGTGTGTGAAGAGCATACATAGTCTAGTGAGTAATGCAGATAACTGAAAGAAGTCTTAGGTGTCATCATAGCATTTAGAAAGGCCATTTAACCCCAAGTGTGTTTGATACGCAATTGGATAAGACCAATAAACTGAGATCTGGACGGTGAGGGGTATCTTTATTTTGTCAGGTGTACTGGGAGGCTGAGAGGCACAGGAAAGACCATATCAATGAGCTTAGGTGAACTATTTACATTTAAGGGGCTGGGGCATAGTTGGGAGGACAATGGCAGTAAAGGAAGTTGAAGGTAGGAATCAGATTAATAACGTTCTTAGAAACCTTAAAAAGGAGTTTATACTTGGTGTCTGAGAATGGATGTCTTTAAAATAGATCAGTGACACAAATATATTTGTATTTTTGAAAAATTACTGACTTTGTACAATGGATTGGGAGGAGAGGGTGACAAAATGGAAGGAGAACAACTAGTATGCTTTTTCAGTAATCTACTGCATGGTGGTGATGGGGAAATGGACAGTTGATAGGACTCTTGGGTTTGGTTGTATTTGGAGATAAGGAAGAGGGTGGAGTCAAGAATGATTCCCAGGTTCTTGTCTTGAGCAATCTGGTGTATGGTTGAGAAATGCAGAATCTAAGGGGAAGGGCAGGCAGGAGGGAGCAGTAGAAAGGAATGAAGGTAGAGTCCAATTTTCAACACTGGGCTTAAAGCTTCTGTGGGAAATCCTTGAGATGTCTGGGAAGCAGTTGACTATATGGGTCCAAAATTCAGAAGGGAGATTGGGCCATATAGAAAGACTTGGGATTCATCAGTAGTTCTTAAATTCTTTCACTGAGAAAGAATGTAAAACCCTCTCATCTATAAAAGTACCTCACTTTGGTAATGAATCTCATCATATTTCTAAGAAAGCTCTTCCCCCAGGTGTT